TCCATCTGAATGAGAACAGGATGGTGTCTGAGAGTGGAAACAGTCCTATGCACACTCTTCATGCAGTATGTAGAAAAGTGCTTATATTTAACTGGAATGAGGTAGTGGTCATCAAGGCTTAAGCTGTGTTTTGTCTTAAAGAGCATGTAACCTCACACCATGCTGTGAACTATTTGGGACCAAAGGGGAAGATGTAATGGGAGCAAGTTGTGTATGTGGGAGAAGACTGGACATAGATAAAGAGGCATAAGGCAAGCAAAAAAGATGTGCTCAGAAGTGGAAAGAAAGGAAAATCTGATAAAAAGTCAGATAAAGAATAATGGTGAGTAGATGTTCCAGCTGTTGGGAGTATGAACTTCCACAGGTGGTAGTGTCACACAGACTGAAGGTCACTGGGATGCTGAAGGGAACCCACAGGAAACCTTTCTGGACAATATGTCAAATCTGCTTTAGAATGGCCTGGAGTAGTATGGGAAGACCAAAGACGATAAATTGCATCCTAATGTTAAACGGTGTGGGGAGAAGAGTGACAGATGTATATTTCAGTAGTTCTGTGCAGATGACAGCATTTAGAAATGAGAAGTAGCCTTGTAATTTTGTCTAACAGCAAGCAAAATAATATAAATATAAATTGGTAACAGCAGTCTGCCTATTAGTTATTTAGGCTTGAATCCCTGCTTAAAGGTGATGTATTTAAAATAAAGCTTTGTTAGATCCCAGTTGTCGCTCACCAATTTCTACACAGTCAAAACTGTTTCAGTCTCTCGTACACCTTGGTACATTTCTTTGGTTCAGGTTTGTTTCATATTATGGTGCCTGTTTGGTTTCCTTTGCAAATTTTTATGGGAAATTTTATAATCATCTTTATAGCTACTATTGCAGTGCTTTTTTTTTTTTTTTTTTTTTTTTTTTTCCTGGATAACCTGACATTTTTCCCCTGTGAAATCTTCAGATATTGCTTTACTTTTTCAGAAAACTCTTGTCCCTCATCTAACTTCCTTTGTATCTTTCCTAGTGATTGTTGGTCAGCATCAATGTGTTCTGAGTAACTTCGTTACTTGTTCCATCTTGGTTCCTTGGTTTTTGACACCTCTCTGACCTCCTCTGTCCTGCTGTGTTGGCTTTTGAATTAGCTAGAACGTAGTAGTAGTGAATGAACATCAGTAAGACAAAATGAGTGTGCTGGTGTGATATTTTCATACCAAAATTCTCTTCAGGATGGTGGAAACAGAGAGGATGTTTTCCCAAACAGAAATTCTGTTGCTTTTGCTGTTTAATATAGCCTTGTGTTCCCTGCTCTTTGGTTTTTTTTGTTTTTTTTTTCCATGCCTCTTCCACATGCCCTGCCAGCAGGAAATGCCATGCCTTGTGTTCCAGGCAGATTCACAGGGAATGGTGAATAATGCATTTTTATGCTGGAATACTTATCATACTCATGTTGTCTGGTGTCAAGATCCAGCTGGGTGAAAGAACCAAATGCATTAAAATATCATTTGTGATAGGTTTATTGGTTAATAATACCTTTAAATACATTTGAGTACTTTTCACATGTAAATTTATGTAAATGTATTTTACTCTGAAAACCAAATTATTGTAACAAAAGCAGTCTTAGGTATGTGTGGAAAAGCCAAACTGTTTGTGTTTGGTCACATTCCTGGACCTGAACAGGCTTCAACCTTCTGCACAGGTCACGAGGCAGCTTTTTTTCCACTCAGTCCATTTCTGGACCCTGAGTTGAACTTTGCTGAATGGAGAAGTGAAAATGTTTAACATATTCTCTTGGTATCTGGTGCTGGGAGAGGGCTGGGCTGTGCCTCAGCAAGGGCTGCTCCAGCTGCTTCTGCTGCTTCAGCTCTCAGACCTTGCCGACCATTCAGGAAGCAAATATATCCTGCTTAATCCCAACTGTCTGCACACTTTCCATAATGGTTAAAGTTACATTTCAGTGTTTATATCTCTGTCTTGCTGCAACTGGAACTAGATTAATGTTTTGTTACTTTTGCCTCTGCCCAATGCTAAGAATTGCTCCCTATGGAGTGGCGTGAAGAGATTCGATGCCTTCCTTCATTGGAGATAAAGGGCCACTGAGGCTAGCGGCTTTATAAGGGATGCCTGTCTGTGTTGGGTGCGGATCTGTTCCTGGGGATAGCTATTAGCATCATACAGCTAGTGTAAATGTAGCGAAGTGTATAGATAATGGAGAGCAAATGTTTGAATAAGCACTCCAGAGAGAGCATCAGAGACAGCGTGTGGATGGAACGCTGCACTTACAGTATATCATTAAAGGCTGTGATCACAGCAACGTTATCATCTCCATTTTCTTTTTTCTTTTTCTTTTTTTTTTTTTTTTAAACTTTTCTTGAAGGATTTTGCACTTTCAGTGAGTTATGCTCTTAATTCTGTGTAACGTCACCCTTTCTTTCTCTCCCTCACCCCTTTTTTGAAAGACCAGATGACTGATTTCTCAGGCCAGCAACAGTGCAGAAGGAAGTGGTCCATGAATATCACTCTTCTGAAGAGCTTCTCACTACTGCCAGCTCTGGTTGCTAAACTTCTCACCCTTACCTGACAGAAGTCTCAGGGAAAAAATCTGCCTTCTCACTGCTGTGGTTCAGCAATGTATATTTTGAATTAGGAAAACACGGGACCTGGCACTTAGCAGAAGACGTTCTTTACCAAGAGTGGGGAGGTGCTGGAACAGGCTGCCCAGAGAGGCTGTGGGTGCCCTGTCCCTGAGGTGTGGATGGGGCCCTGAGCAGCTTGGTCTAGTATGAAGTGCTGAGGTTGGTGGCCCTGCATGCGGCAATAGGGTTGGAGCTTGGTGATCCTTGAGGTCCCTTCCAACCCAAGCCATTCTACGATTCTATGAAGACATGCAGCAAAACTGGACTGTGCTGCAAAATGAATTCCTTCCATGTACAGCAAGTTGCGGTTAGAAAGGTGCTGCACGTATAATTGGAATTGTGTTATTCTACCCACTGGTAATCTCAGTAACTCCAGTTTTATCATCGCGTAAAGTCTGTCTGGTCTGATTCCCCCATCCTGTTTCTTTTGCTTTGGCCACTTGCATTTGTCTCTGTTTACTTTCTTTACTCTCAAGGAAATGAGCGTGATATTTCTTTGTTTGCATTAATAAAAACAGAGAGCGCTTTTATATCAACAATACTGAAATTGAATTTGCGGAAATATTTTATCTATATGAGGTTTTGTTCGATTCTTTAATTCATTTCATTTCCTGAATTTAGATTCAATTACTCTCTTCCTTTCAAATGCACTCTGTTAGCAGCACTGGGCTCGCCCATCTTCTGACAGCTGCAAATGGTAATGAAATCTCAGAGCTGGTGCGTAGATATGATCGAACTATTGCAACACCATCTGAGTGTGTGTGTTTGCTCGCTAGCTCTGGGGAACTCAAATTGCCATCAGTGATGTACTTGTACAGTGGTTACTTCCCTGCTTTGGTGAGAACCCTGTGAGGGGAAAAAAGGATCGGGAGAGATGGTGCAGGTTTGAGGTCACAGAGGCATTGCGCCTCTTCTGGATTTGCAGTTCACCTGTTTTAATGTGAACTGCATTACACAGTGTTTTTCTGAGTGAGGTTGGAATCATAGAATTGCTCAGCTTGGAAAAGACCTTAAAGATCATTGAGTCCAACCACAACCTAACCATACTACCCTAACTCTAACAATCGTCTGCTAAATCATGTCCCTGAGCACCACATCCAAATGGTTTTTAAATACATCCAGGGATGGTGACTCAACCACCTCCCTGGGGAGCCTATTCCAGTGCTTAACAACCCTTTCTGTAAAGAAGGTTTTCCTTGATATCCAGTCTAAACTTACCCTGGCACAACTTGAGGCCATTTCCCCTCATCCTGTCACCAGTGAGAAGAGACCAACCCTGCTCCCACTGTAAGCACCTTTCAGATATTGGAAGAGAGCAATAAGGTCTCCCCTCAGCCTCCTCTTCCCCAGACTAAACAGCCCCAGTTCCTTCAGTCTCTCCTCATAGGGCACATTCTCCAAGCTCTTCGCAAGCCTTGTTGCCCTTCTTTGGACCAGGTTTGGACTAAAAGACAGAGAAAGTTTTAAAGGTGAGAAAGTAAATGGATGGAAATGACTTTAAAGTAAACTGGATCTGTTCTTAAAGGGGTAGGATGCTGCCTTTCTCCTCAGGTCCCTCTCAAGCACAGGACTGGGCAGTCTGCAATAGTCCTTGTATCACAGCTGCATGAGCTGAAACACATGAAAAAAGATCATGTCCTTAAACACAGTGCTTGTGCTGACACTCCAGGGTGAAAATTCCTGCATGCCATTTATTTTATGTTATGTGTTGTTGTGTGAGTGGGAGGAGGAGGGTGAGCCAAAAAAATAATCTGTCCTACAAATAAACGAGTGACGGTGAGGGCAGCTGGGAATCAATCTGCACATCACAGGAGATGAGAGAAAGCACTAGGACAGGACATGCAGGACTGCACAGGCCTTCTCTGCACATCAGATGGAAACATGAGAACAAGAAAAATATTTGGGGATGAGGACATATGGTGGAGGTACATTACTGTTTTCTGATTAAGGAACAAAATTTCATAATACTTAGTCTCTACCTTTTCAAGCTGAAATTCATTACTACATCAAAGTGAGTGCTTTGCTGCTAACAGAGTAAATATTTCTATTTAGAAAAATGTGCAAATTACAGGACTTTTAAAGAACCGAGTGGCTGATAGTGAGTGGCTGTCTGGCTGGAGTTGATCTTAGTAAATAAATTGATTTTGATGTAATTAGATAATAAGTAATAAACTTAGCTACTGATTCTGACAATTTGAAACAAATTATTAAATGTGTGTGCTGCATGACACATGAAGCACTTTTTAATGTGTGGTGGTGGGTTTTTTTTGTATGTATGTTCCATTTTGTTTTTCAGCCTCTCCACCTTGCTCCCTGCCCGCCTGTAGTACTACAGTGTGCTCAGCCTGTAGCAAAGTGCTGTGAGGAAAGGCTGAGGTTCCCCTTGTTCAGCACTGGAGCTAAGATGGTTTCTGCCAGCCCGAGGATCCCACCCTCTTCCAGAGACACAGGTATGTAATGTGCAGAAGTCATGGGCCTCCTGTGTTCTCTCCAACTCCACAGCTTGGGCTATCTTGACTGCAGGAGCACGCTGTTCAAAAAAGCTGTAGCAGCTAATTTTTGGAAGCAGATACCTGGATGGAGATGCTTTTTCATCAAAAGAAAACATTTGCACAGATGTGGTTGACACAGGAGGGCAAGATCTCATTCCATATGTCATCATTAATCTTAGCTGAGGTAACTGCAAATGTGTGACCGTCACACATGCAATGACACAAAACATGAAGCCAACAGGAAAGTACCTGGCTACCAGCTACATGTGGTAGTACAAGTAAATCAGACTGAACTGCAACAGCTGAGGATATTAGATGAACTTGGAAGTTCCATGAAGAAATTACTTAAAAAATAAAAAACCACAACACCACCTTTGCCTGTCTCTATGGCTGCTACCAATATGGGTGAAACGTGTCAGCATTCCATTATGCTCAAGTCATCAATGTGCAATTTAGAAGTTACTGACTTGTCTCTGTATTTCAAAGCAGAACATCATCATGAAAACTCTGTGTGCAGGGAAAGTTGTAACATATTGCGTGAACCATCTGTATTGCTGGTTGATGATGGCATGTCATGGGCAGTACAGATGATGGCATGTGGATAGTCTGTTTTACTGGTAAGCAATCTGGTAAGAATTTAACACTAATTAACGGTCTGAACATCTGCTAACTCAAGAAGTATAGTTGGAGGTGCATAAAATCCTGGAAAGTAAGCTGTTCTGTAGGACTCAGACCCAGTACAAAATCCACCTAATTCTTTGCCTTTTCTCACGTTGATTCCAAGCACTCCCTGTTCCTTCAGAAGGCCTCACCTTCTGGACATGCCATTACCAAATGTTTCTGTGCTAGTGTTTTGTTCATCTATTACATTGAGCTGCAGTTTTGAGATATTGCTTCTGTGGTCTTAAAAAATGACTGGCTTGAGAAGCCTATGGGCTCTCCTTGCAGGATGCTGCTTCTGCACCATGCAGACAGCCTCTTGGTTTGTTCCAAGCTCAGTGACACTTTTCTGTACAGCCATGAACAGATATCACAAGCAGTCTTAATTTCCCAACCTCAAGAGGTAGAGGTTGGGTTTGTTCCACTGTGTGCTCTTTTTGTTTTAAACCATTTCTGTGGAGGGATTTTTTTTTTTCCTTCCTACATGTGGTAAATTGAAGCTGACACCGGAGCGGTGTACAACATTAGATTTCAACAGGACCCCTAAGAGTCCTTCCAAGAGTGTTTCTTTTAACAAGGTTGCATGTGGAGACACATGCCAACCTCATGGGGGGTATCAGGTACCTATGAGGCAGCATGGGACAGTTATATTTCTCTTAAGTGAGTGCTGATTCTCTCTAGGTCCTGACCATCTGCTCCGAGAGAAGGCCCATACAGCCACACAGAACTCCCCAGACCTCATGGGACTCTGCACCAGTGGGATTCTGCAGATGTATATTTGCAGTATCACAGTCAGCAACAGCACAAGCTTGGTAAGTAAAGTGCCCCACTCACATTCATGTGCGTTCTTTCAAAGTGAGATTTCAGACAGGCAAGTGAAGATATACTTCAGTTTTATTGTTGTTTAGGCATGGATAGAAACATCAATTCTTTTGCGCTCTTGGTTCTTGAAACGTGCCTACAGTGAACGTGGAGCAGTGAAAAACGCGGCTCCTAGGACTGACGATTTAAAGTGCATAGGAGATCTAGCAGAATTCCAAAGGATGAGAAGGTCTTCTAATTCCTTTCTCATAGCTGTGGAAGTCGAAGGACTTTTGTTCTTCTCTTCTTCCACCATGCTCCCAAGACAGTGGTACGAACATTTTCAACCCTTCCCTATGCTTTCCCTGATGATCTTTGGAGGTTTCTTCTCTGTGTTTAAAAACTATTTGTAGTGTTATAAACAGACGGTTGATTTTTGCATACTCCTTCCCAGCATTCTGTTGCAACTTTTTTTCCTGTTTAGAGTCACGCCCACTGTGATTTGTTAAAAAAATGTGTTATCACTTGGCAGTGTTCTCGCACCAAAAGAAAAAAAAAGATATATTTGTATATAAAGTAACTGCTTTGTGTGTTCACGTTTTATTTTGGAAAAACAGGTGTTTAAAAATTTTAGAATTTTTTTAACAAAATTCTAAAAAGAAAAAAAAAAATCACAATATTTACAGAGATAACATAATGGCTTAGCCATGCAAAACAAATCACTTTGGTTTTTCCCCCATTTTACTTTGGTTTAAATACTGACCAAGATTATAATTTTTTTTTCTCCTCTTTGCCAAATAAAACAGTAACAAATCAAAAGTTTAGAGGCATATAACAGGATTTCCCTCTAGTATTTTATACAGCATAGAGTCTATAGGACTTCTTATGTATTTTAATCCATGCCAATGCACTACAGGAAGCTTTTATTAAGACATCAGTCACTACTGCCCAGACATATAACATTTTACAAATTTACAAGTAACAGTGTTTTCTTCCCCCCTAAATAATGCAAAAGTGGCAAAATACATTTCCTAACGTCCATCTCTTTCTTTTATTTATTTATTTATTTATAGTCTTTTTTGCCTACCAGTCTATAAAAACATACTTTTTTCCCTGGATATTTGTAAAAGGAAACCTGATGTTCTGCGTGCTTTGCTGTTCCTCTCCATCAATCCACCTATCACTTTCTTCCCAAAACAATCCTTCCTCGCAGAATGAAACTTCCCTCTCCCTTAACAACAATTCTCTATCAGCCATTCACCCTAAACCATTTTCTTATCAGTACCGTTCTAAAAATTTCCTCAAGCTTAAAACATGTTTATAAAGTTACAAACTTGAATGTAACTAAAGATACATAGACATTTCATTGTTACAATTATATGTACTGTTTGATAAATTAGGTACCAGTTAAAAACACTAAAATTATCTCAAGGTGCATTCAATATCTGTAGCATAGTTAACAAAACACACAAAAAATATATATATTCTATTTTTGTGGAAAAAAATGCAGCTTTGATATGATCACCTTTTTTTAAAAAATCTCCAATTCTGACTGATATCTCTTTGAAATGAAGAAAAGGTACAGTACTTTAAGGCAGCGGATAACGTAAAGGAATCAAAATCAAACCAGAAATCCAGTTCCTTATCCTAATTTTAACACGAAGGACAACAGGCAATGTATGAGTAAAACGTACGCCTTGCTTTAAAAGGAAAGGACCACAGGCCACCATCTGCACGTAGGCTATGAGTGTTTCACTGTGTTCCTTGCTCAGCTCCCAGCCTTCTCCATTGAAATTCTTTATTCCCTTTCTGGCTGTTTGCTTTCCCTCAGACTTCTTAAATTCTCACTGTTATTAACAATTCGGCTTATTTTTGTCACAATTGTCAGCTCTCCTCTTTACTGTGACTTCTAAAAAATGAAAAAGGAGATCAATGTTTTCCTTTAAGACAATCTTACGCTTTAGGTATTTGCTACAAAGCAGAGGTTTCACTGATAACAATCAGAATTAGACATGTACCTGCCCAAAGGGTGCCATAAAAACAATTGAAATCAAACCATTACACTATACATCAGAATAACAGCAACTCCCAGAACAAAGCCTTACAGTGTATAAAAATAGCTACGTAAAAAATTTACATAAAGGCAAACAAAAAGAAATCTTCAGTGCAGACATTTACAAAAAAATAGTTTAAACAGAACACAACATGGTGACCTATTATCATGGCTGTTGCCAAAATTAGTTATTCTGTGTGTTGGGTTTTTTTGTTGTTGTTGTTTTGTTTGTTGTTGTTGTTTGTTTGTTTGTTTGTTTTAGCTTGAGATAATTGTGTCTAAAATCCGCTGAAAACTTGGTAGTATGATCTGTTTAATACTTGAACCATGAATAGCTGTCACTTCTTTGTATACGTTTAAATACAATCCACGTTCATGCTTCAATTGGTCTACATGTATTCTCTGAAAACATGAAAGATAAAGGCAGTTAAGCAGGTTTAGATTTAAACATGTTAATCAACATAACTGCTCAGCATTCTGACCCCCAAACAAAAAGCTAATTAGCAGTACTTCCCATCTTGTTTAATATCTTTATTGATGACCTAGATGAAGGGATTGAGTGCACCCTCAGTAAGTTTGCAGATGACACCAAGTTGGGAGGTGGTGTCGATCTGCCTGAGTGTAGGGAAGCCATTCAGAGGGATCGAGGTAAGCTGGATTGCTGGGCTGAGGTGAATGGGATGAGGTTCAACAAGGCCAAGTGCTGGGTCCTGCACTTTGGGCACAACCCCATGCAGCACTGTTGGCTTGGGGATGAGTGGCTGGATGACTGTGAAGAGGAAAGGGACCTGGGGCTGTTGGCTGATGCTCAGCTGAGCATGAGCTGACAGTGTGCCCAGGTGGCAAAGAGGGCCAACGGCATCCTGGCGTGCATTAGAAATAGCGTGGCCAGCAGGAACAGGGAGGTGATCATCTCTCTGTACTCAGCACTGGTAAGGCTGTATCTTGAGTACGTGTTCTGTTTTGGGCCCCTCTACAAGAAAGACACTGAGGCCCTGGAACGTGTGCAGAGAAGGGCAAAAAAACTGGTGAGGGGTCTGGAGCACAAGTTTTACAAGGTGCAGCTGAGGGAGCTGGGATTATTTAGTCTGGAGGAGGCTCAGGGGAGACCTCATTGCACTCTACAACTTCCTGAAGGGAGGCTGTGATGAGGAAGGGTTTGGCCTCTTCTCCCAGGCAACAAACAGGACCAGAGGAAATGTCCACAAGTTGTGCCAGAGGAGGTTTAGGTTAGACATAAGGAAGAACTTTTTCTCTCAGAGAGTGGTCAGGCACTGGAATGGCTGCCCAGGGAGGTGGTGGAGTCGCCGTCCCTGGCAGTGTTCAAGAGGCGTCTGGATGAGGAGCTATGAGAGATGGTTTAGTGCTTGTGGTAGCAAAGGTAATGAGAGGAGGGTTGGACTAGATGATCTTGCAGGTCGTTTCCAACCTTGCGATTCTATGATTATAGAATCTATAGAATACTTTCTTCTCCCAGTTTAAAAGAACACTTTCCTTCATGATAGCAGCTGTTGCAATGTAGTTCCTAAAGCAAAGTCTATCTGGTAGGTAATGTACTTATGGATAAGCTTTAATTGATGCAGGACTACTGACCCAACAAAATAAAAAACTGTAATAAAAGATGGCACTGAAGGCTTGTGATGCTATTTGAACTGCTATGGCTAATAAACATCTTCAGCAATTTCGTCTCCACCTAATCCCCTCAATATTGCAATGCCGTGGAAAGTACAAAGTCCAGAAAAACAAATAAATACAGAATAACCCCCAGCTGAGGAGATGGCAGAATTTTCCTGTAGGAATGTATGTACACTGTGACTTTTTCAAAATCCAAATTTAGTTTTCACTTTTAAGACTTTTAAGTCACTCATAAGGTATTACTTGGAAATTCCCAATCCCAAGGAAACTCCAACGAAAGGGGCACACGGGAATACTGCATCTCTTCATATACTCTATAATCATTTTTCTTTAGTACAAAAATAATGAGGTTTATTTTTAAATTTCAGATAGTACTAATGTAGTGAAATGATCCATAATCAGAGCTGTATTCTTATGCAAATGAGAAATGTCATCATCCCACCATATGCTTTAAAGTCCTGCAGCCCAGAATAGGTATCCAGTGCTATTTAGTTACTCAGGGCCATCCACTGCTTTTCTATCGAGGAACTCCAAACACTGTGCTGCTGAACATGTACTACTCCCCTTTTAACGATCAGCTGATGATTAATTCAAGAAAACTGAGTATGGTGACCTACCACAAAGTTAATCTAAAATTACTTGTGTTGCTCAGAAAAATGTTCTGAACTCTCACTTTGAGTACCAAGTAGCAAGATATGGCATGTGGGTATGCAGCAGTGGTGTATAGACGTGCAGGCACTGGGTGGTGCTGTTGGTGCTTCGTAGTGCCCAGTAACTCCAGACAGAACTTCTGTGTCTGTTTATTTTTGCACACTTTATTTTACACAGATCCCGGCTGGGCAAGCTTGTATACCTGTTGCACTTTTACTAGCTTAACATACAGTATCTCTTTCCAAGAGCATGTGGAGAATCATACCACTTTGTGAGGTCCTGAATAAAAGAATGATTTTATTCTTAGAAAAGGTTTGTGCCTTTTGCAGCACTGATGAATAAAGCCCATCAAGAAATACTGCTTCCAGTAACGCAAGAGTGCTCCCGTGAGCATTTAAAGCCATAACTCAAAACCTTCTAAATGTTACCTACACACCTTCTACCACACAAATGCACAGGTAGGTATATACCACAGTGGTATATTATATAATTATTTTTTTCAATTCCCCAAGTGCACAATTAAAAAAAAAAAAAAAAAAAAAGCCAAAAAGCCAAGTACTACCTTATATCTAACTTATAACTTATTTCTTTAATGTGTGTCTATGCAGGTTAGAACTTGTAACTGGCTGGGGACTTGAGTCTGTCTGTCTTCATATCACCAGAGTCCAAAACCACTCTATTTCCTATGCCCAAAGGGTAAGCAACAGAAACCTGAGCTAATCCTGTGATTGTTAGACATGGATTGCGAGAGAGAGAAGAGGTGGCCAGGTGTTAAATTTTGCAGTATGAAACACCTACCTGGAATGATGACTGACACATTTTGTCTCTTAAGTCTCAGATTTATGATTGTTTTCTTCTAGTTTTTTATTTTCTTCTATATTTCCGAGATCTTTGTCTACATGTTTTGACGCTGTCCTAGAATGAAAAATTAGGGTCATTTTTGCACTTTTACAGCACTTTGTTCCATACACACATTAACGATGCTGCTCCCTCCTCTTACAGTTCTGCTCGGAGCAGAGCAATAGGCTTGCATATGATTGTAAATGGACCAATAGCACCAGTTTTCCCACTGAAGCCATGCTTGTGTGTTCTATATCTTGGGAAATCCAGAATTATTCTGAGCTAGCAAGAATGGTTGAATTGGTTGTGCAGATTCATGTATCTCGACAAATTAATTGTGAAGCTTGTTTCAATAAACAAGAGTTTGCTTTAAGGCATACTAAAATGTTACAAGTATGGCTAAGATATCTTGATCAACCTAGCAATCTTTTGTGTACTCGTAGTAATTGACTTTCAGAAGCTGTGCCAAACAGCAGCTCTTTAACTGTGAAGAAATTTAAGGAAAATTCAGGCAGCACCAAAAAAAGAAAACATTCTGTCTTCCAGATCTGTGCTGGCTCTGACTGACAAGGTTTAAGTAAAAAAGGGATTGTATAAATGTTTGAGGGGGAGAAAAGAGGTATGCCTCGTTTTAAATAGCAGGTTGTCTTTAATACGAGTGGTGGAGATGAATTAATGAGTTAAGTGCTTAGTTTGGCTTAGCACAATAAAACCACTAAGCCATTCATTTAATGTGTGAGAAGCCTCACTGTCTGCCAAGGTGAAAGATTCCTGCAGAGCTGCGATAACATTTTGAAGGCCACAATTTTTAAAATGTAAATGGGCAAATGTGTTTGAGTGGGACAAAGTAAATCCCTCGTGTCAAAGCAGATTATGGTATAGGCATTTTCTCTAAGGATAATTTGTTTCCCCTACAGAAAAGTAACATCTGTTGTGACAGATTTATGCATATGCTCACCCTTGCTTCAGAGTAAAGATCTGCAGTGACACTGACTTGCAAAATGCAATGAAGACACAGGTAGGTAGGCAAAGAAGTGTGACATGGGACGCTGACACCATGCAGGTATGTACCTTACAAAACCACCAATTCCAATTTTTTGCTATTGGAGTGTTTCAGTGCACATCCTCCATCTGAGCAAAGGCTGCGAGCCAGGGCTGAGCACTGTGCGTGCCCTGAACTGAAGGAGCAGTGAAAGGTACTGTCAATAAAGCACTATTTAGTGCTTATCTCAGCAAGCTTCTACGAGGTGCTAATGCACCTGCTCCTTAGCACCCCTGGGAATGCTGTGACAGCTGCTGGTGGGAGCAGTGTATGATGGGCTGTGCCAGAGGGCGTGCAATTCAGGGTCCCAAACCCCATGGAGTACGCTGAATGGGAAAAGTTTTGAAGTAGGTTACTTCCTAGGTGGTTCAAACTTGTAATTCTTCCAAGTTACACTTATCTTTTACCAATGTTCTCAGACTGCCTCTGTTCTGCTTGTGTGACTGTCAGAAGGGCAGGTGTCTGTGCAGAACCAGTTTTGCTGTAAACCTTCTTATACACAGATTCAAACTACTGATTGTCACAGGCAAATCTAATTTTAAAATGCCAAACTTGATACTTGAAGGAACACGTTCTACAGTGGTAAGTTTCTATCATACTGTGAACTTCCTACTTTCTTCAGATATCTAAGAGCCTGGAACACAATAAGTGCACAGGAGGAAAGGATGTAAGATGTAATGAAGAAGAAAATCCAATGATTTGGTAGAGGTCAACCCTCTCCTGTGATCATAGTAACCCTTCACAAATCTCTTTAATCCTAGTTAAAAAGCAAACAAACAAAATATCCAAATAAACAAAGCCTTTAAAAATTTGGAAAATTATTTTTTCTAATTAAATATAAATGTAAAAATTTGTCTGTTTTAGGTAGAGCACAGAATCTGTCTTGTCACAGTTAAGAAGCCTTTTCCACAAAGAAGTCTTTCACAAAACTGGAGATGATAAGGAAAGAGATGAAAAGCTGAAAGAATCTGGATCTGGGCAACTGCCAGAGCTGATATGAGCTGGAGGTGGGGAAGCAGCGCTGTGCTCATCTGCTCTCACAGTGCTGTACATGGGCACTGGGGCTGCTGCTGCAGACAAGTGAGTGGAATGGACAGACTATTGGCATGGCTCAGCATGATGCCTTTTTTTGGCCTCTTATCCACGTTTTTTTATAGGACCTAAAGCGAACTGGATCTCGAATGACCTGACACCTAACCGCCTAACAACAGGAAACTGTAAGTAAGTGGCATTACTGTTCTTTGATCAGGTTAAAATGGATCAATGACTACAGCTGGTAGGTCCTGCATTGCTATCAAGATTTATTTTTCAGGTGTTTCACTGTAGCTCTGCATTCAATGGAACCATGGTATTCCCTCACTAAATGCCATCTCTGTTTTCCTAGAGCCAAAAGGGGTGAGAATGGAGAGGTGAAAGGCAGCATTCTGACTTTGAAAGAGAGTTCCCCAGAATCCTGATGTGGAGTACAGTGAGCGTTGCTTGTCTGAAATCAGAGCAGCTTTTCATGTCAGAAAGCCAGACAGATTTAGATTTTCAGCATCTGAGACTGAAATACATACAAAGTTCAATTCTAGTGTCTTGGTGATCTTGCTGATCACCAAATGCTGATATATGGGCAGATTCAACACCTCAGTACAAATTCTATTTCTGTTATTTTTTGTGCTAAATAGTATTATTAAGGGACAGAATCAAAATTTGGACTGAGTTGCAGCAGTGTGATCCATTGGCAGTGCTGTGCCAACAGCAGAGGAATGGGCAACTCTGTCATCTCACACAAATGATGAACAGATCCGATAAGCCCCTATTTTAGTATGCTTTGGCAATGTTACACAATCCCTGAAGATATTCAAGGCCAGGCTTGATGGGTTCCTGGGCAGCCTAATCTAGTGGTTGGCAACCCTGCCCCCCAGCAGGAGAGTTGGAACCAGATCATCTTTTGAGGTCCCTTCCAACCCAAGCCATTCTAGGATTCTATGATATTGTGAAAGCTGATTGTATTAATATGAGCTTACTTATATCTCTTGGCTGGTTTTTTTTTTCTTCTTTTTTTAATCATTTTTAAAACAGATCATTGCAAGTTCTTGCTAAAATCATGACTCATATTTTACATTTATCTATGCTCGCTCTTCAGGAAAATGATTATCCTCAGGGAATGCTAATCAAAATGTCTCTGTAAGTAGTGCCAAAATGAGGTCTTCGGTTTTCTTTTGAGTGTGTGTTGAGGGGCCATTATTTTCACACGTTTTGTTTAAATATTTTTTATAATGCTTTTCTTAATATAAGGAATTTTTTTTCCTATCTCCATTGTTTTACTTGCTTTACTGTAAATACACTCTGCATATAGGTTACACACACACACACACACATACATATATATCTCCTTGGAATTTAACTCCTAATTTCTTTTTATCTCATGCAACCAAGCCTCAGCTGGAATTCTGCTGAAGAAGAAAATCTGCAGTGCCTTTGTCTTGTTATCAAGCTTGTGATAATGACAGGTAAGAAAACACACATAGATGGAGTTCTAAGTGTTGAAGCAAGAGCTATGAACTTCACTGTCAGCAACACATTTGAAAGGCATGTTAAGACACTGAACTGCAATGCTGAAAAGGATTTTGTAGGAGCTGAGGATCTCACCCCACCAAACCTGGACTATTTGCAACCTCTTACCCTTCACTCCAATTTTGCCTTCTAATTCCTACAATTACTTTTAAATGCCTATTTGTAGGAAAAAAGGCAAAAAGAAAAACATAACAAAGGAGCAATTTTCGTAAATTCAATTTATTCCATTTTCATGCAAGTTTTGTGATGTTAACTGACGCTTCGGGAGTTGTTCTTAACTTGGTCTTTTCTCTGGAAAGCAATTGCATGAAAAACAATGCAAGTGCTGCATCTTGTTGTAAACATACAGCAAGTTGCCTGTATATTTGTCCTGCTACATTTGGTTTCGTATGCTGATTTCCTATAAAGTATCAGTAAAGCAGAATTGCTATGCTTCAAGTGTTCAGTTTCAGAGCGAGTCAAGCAACATTCTTGATTACTGTGATCTAAGGAGAATTTCAATATTTTGTTGTGCTCTGAGCATGAACAATTTCAAGACTGCTGCTGTGCTTCAATTTGCCCAGCTGCATATACTTTCACTGCATTTTAAATCTACATGCTGCACTTCCATGCCTGGAGAACAGGGATAAAGGTTGCTGGGTATGTTGCTTTCTTTCTGAACCTTTAATGTGTACAGAACTCTCATTAGTTTCTGGCAACATGAAAATTTTGTATATAAAGGATTTACAGAAGATGGGTGTTCTAGAACTGCTTAATTAAGATACAGCAAAAGTTTTAGTAAGATTCTTCAGTGCCATATTATATCCTCTGATCAGTGCTAATTAGTTCATTATATGCTTTTTGGAAAATGGACAAAGCTGTAGAAAACAAGCATTTCGCCTTCTGCTCAGATGAAGGAGAGACAAAGCATGCTGGGATAGGGAGCCTCAGCTCTTAACGTGAGACAGGGCTGGTTGCAGGACATGGAATACAGATGAGGCCCTGATTCATGGGATAATATTCATAGTGAGAAGAATATGTGACAATAATCAGCTTTTGCATCAAGTGGAGCTGAGACAGTGAATAACTCTATAAGTGATTTATTGTGAATATATTCCAAAGCTACAAGTGTAATTTCTACTTAGCGTGGAAGACAAAACAATAGAAGATTATGCAAACCACAACACCCATAATGACAAAAGTAATGTTTTTCTTGCCTCGGCAGACTTGGAAAGTTCTGTGCTGCTGCCTTCTCAGACTTTCCTTTGGCGTCACTTTAGGGATAGAGATTAGGTGAGTTACTGTTCAAGGGTGGGTTCAATAAGTGACTACTATCTGTTGGCCTGCACGGGGATGGACAGTTGTGATTGGACACAGACTGTAACTGAAGGTGTAAGGTGCTTTTTACAAGGAGTATTTTTACTTCTAGATTATAATTTATGCTGAAAAACTTGTCAGAGAATTCAGCTTGCTCTTGCAAGTACGGCATACACAAGTTAGGGAGGATAAAAACAGGTCAACTTCAATATATGCTGAGAACATGAGATTGTCAGTGACAATATATCAATTAAGGGTTTCAGAAGCCAGCAACATTGTATGAAATAGGAAGACTATTATTTAACTATAAAGGTTTTTTATTGTTATTTTTTTGTTCCTGGTGAACCTTTTTAATAAATTCAAGCTCTAATTTTACTTGAAGCATGTATAAGAGAAATTGAGCACAAGGAAAAGAAAAAAGAATATAGAATATTCCATTTAGAATATAATGTATCCTATATTAGAAGAGGAAAAAGCTATCTTAAATCACAAGCTCATTTCAGCAAATGACATCCTGTAATCTAGGTTTCTAATCGGCTCTCACCACAATATATAAATGGTGCAGAGAAAGATACTTTACCTTCTCTGCCCTCCTTGTATCCTACCACCTCTTGCAAAAACCCAATCACTGCATCATTTTATGACTGCACATTCTCATATTCAAAACAGATGAGAGAAAATGATTCTAGACATTATTACAAGAGTAGCAAAGTGTAGGAGGAGGAGCTCAACGTTATTTTACTAGATGATTTTAAGTTTTCCAACTGTAACGATTCTATGGTTCTATTATTACTTCTTAATTAGTAAGCAAAAGAAGCATGACCTTTGGAAAAAAAAAAAAAAATTGCTTCCCCACCCTTCCATAGTATCTGAATGTGGTTTTGTGCTCTGTCAAAATCAGCAGTTCTTTATTTGCAGAACTTCTAAAAACTACTTAGTTATGTCTAGAGAACATTCCTTATGTAATATAAAAAAAACCCTGCATTTTATAAGAAAAGTAGATTGAGAATTCTTTGTTACACTTTGTCACTTTTCTGTCACACATTTTAGATTTCATTTGAGCTAACTGTAATGAAAAGTCACAAAAAGAACTTTAAGATTTTTTTTTATATACTTGTGCTGATTTGTTTTTATTATGCATAACTTCTTTAATCTCCCTATTTAAAAAGTACTTAACAACAACCTTCCAGACAGCAAGCCTGTTCTAAGTTCTCCCTTGGGACACATATATGATGATAAGGCCAAATGGCACACAGTCATGGCCATCTTTAAAATTATGGAGAAAAATGGCTACACTTTAATAAAATGAACTGGATGATCTCAAAGTGGGCCTGAGTGATAATACAAAAACTTGAAAGCCAAGCAGACCTCAATGGCAAATCCTGTGCTAGCTTAGGTTGGTAAAACACTCATTTGGATGACGGCTTCTATCTTTTCTGCAACAAAAGGTCTATGTTTACCATTTTTACTTCTATAGATCTCAAAGTATATGTGAATGAATGAATGAATGAAGGACCTAGATAATTTAGATCTGTTCTGCAATTTAGTCCGCGTTTTAAAGCAGAAGAGTTACCCAAATTTTTAAGTGTAGACAATTTCCAGTAGCAATTGAGCCACATAGGAGGTGACTTCCCACAATTAACTCACAGGTACCATATCAGCTCAGATTTGGCTGTCAGGAAATAGAACCTCATTAGAGACAGCTAACTATGAAAAGTCTTGGAGTAAGCTGCCTTTATCCAAGAGAAATATCTTGTTGAGCTTTAGGGCATGCCAATCAGAAGTGTCAAGTTTCCTTTCTCTATTAAATGCACTTAGTATAACAACTTGTCCCTGTCAGACTACTGGAATGCTGCAGGAAGGAAAACAGGTAAATATATGTTTGTGTTTATGATTATTTTTTAAAATTTAGTATCAAGTTTTTCATAAATTCTTACTTTGATTTCTTCACATAGAGCCAGTAGACAACACCTGCAACCAGGGCAACCAACAGAAGACCGACTACAATCCCCACTATTAGTTTTGCCTGGTCATTAACCTTTTCACTGTTGTCATCTGAAGCAAAGAAGAAAAGTTAATGAGTTAACTTATGATGAAGAAAAGTAATACAGCATTTTAAAAATACTTGCATTAGAAATGAGAAAAGGAGTCAGAACATCAAAATGAAAAAAGGAAAAGAAAAAAAAAGAACTGTTTCAAAAAGACCAAGCGAAAAAAACACAACACTTAAAGCTTCAAGGAAGTCATGTTCCTAGTCAATCATGGTGCCACCTGCTACAGATCAAGTTGAGTCCTATTACGAGGGACTGTTCAGTGATTCTGCATATGTCTTAATCTGAGGCAATGAACAGAAAGGATTATGGAGATAGAAAACTGTACATACCATTTCTGTCCTCTGGTTCATCGTACTCTGGAATACTTACTGAAATGAAAAATGTTAAAATTAAAGATAAAACATGTGATAACCTGAATATTACTTATAATTATTTGCATCAGTGACACTAAAAAAATAATGCAATATTTGCCAAACATCTTTAAGAAGAAGTTATTCTTTTATAACTGTAAGATATCCAACTGAAGAATCTTGTTCAATACTATAATATTAATCTCAGAAATATTTATGTGTTCCTCTTTCACAACTATTAGCTTCTTAATATATTCCCTCACTGAAAATTGAAAAAGTCAATACCACTAATGACAAACTGGAATTTGAGGAGTAAAAGATGGTTATGTAGTAATAAATAAAGACTTTGTCTTTTGTAAGTAATATTTTATTATACTAAATGTACATTCTTTTGTACCATTATGGTGTAATATTACACAAATTACACACAAAACTCATGTTTTATAAATATATATATTGTATACTTACATTGAATATAAAATGAATACATTGCATACATGATATAACTAGTCAAGGAAGACTACGCAGCTTCATTCAGAAAGCTATCAACACATTCTGCATTCTACTATACTATTAATGGTTCTATTGCTTTTGAGACAAAAAGGTAACTACGTTACTACCAACATTATTATGCACATCTAGTCTTCATTTGTGCATGAAGTGTGGATACTCTATGTGGAACTACAACTTTCAGAAAAATGGTCTTTAGAAGATACTCACTAGCAGAGACATTCAGAGAGGTCACAGTCCTTTCTAGCTGATTTTCTGCAATGCATGTTAATGTTACATTTTCCTCAGGAGCAATTATAATTTTACTGGAAAATTTTCCATTAACATACTTGGTCTCCTCTGTCTGAAAAGGTAAAAAATGAAGGTTAGCATCCTTGAAAAAAGCAAACAACAAAGAATTTATTATCTGTATTTACGCAATGAAAATGTTTAGAGAGAAATAACAATCAACCATATTTCAGTTTTCCAAATAACTTTTCCAAATGACAATAGAAATAATTCATTATTACATGGTAATGCAAACATTTGGATTGCCCAGTCTTTTCTTGTAGCTGTATCTACATTTTGCCCAGGACATACTGCAATAAGACTTCTAAAGAGGTATTTTTCAAAAGTTCACCAGACCCTGTACTTGTTTTTGTTTATTCCAACTATTTAAAGAATATCCAAAGAACAAAATTCTCCAAGGAAACCCCAAAATGAGATGTCTAAGTTTGCATTTCTTTATGACCACTGTAAGATTTCCACTTTACAAGATTCCAAATCATGAGTTGTTTCCACCCAAGAATCATTTTGCCAAGCCACACCTATTTAGTGGTACCTGCAGCATCAGTGCTGTAATGGTGATGAAGGTGTTCCTTAAATTTGCTGTACACCATTCTTACATTAATACCATGTCCAGAAAAACATTATTTTCAATTAATTAGTTATATAGACTCAACACAATTCCTAACCTACAGTTGCAAGTAAATGGGCATGTTTTCACAGTCATGTAATTTATGAAGGGCTAAAGCAAAACCTTAGGAAGCAGTGAAATCTGCAGGAACAATGGGCATTATACTTTCAGTCTTCAAATGTTTGTATACGCATCTAATTTATTTTTCCCATCCAGACAAAATATGGCAATTCTCTGCATGTGTTTTGGTTATCAATATGAAGATATTTCAGTTTGCTCTTTTTTCAGATATTTTTCAAGCTGCTTAAGTCTTCATATTTCTCCCCCAGGCTGACTGCATTTTGGTTTTGTTTCCAAAACGCAGTAAGAAACAATGATATAACCACACAAAAATAACATATACATTAGGATAAAACTGCAAAGTCCATTAGGAACTACAGTGAGCATATTTTCTGATTTTTACTTGTAATACTTCCCCCAGCTAATGCCTACATCAAGTACCTTATTACTTTCTAACACAAATTTTAGAGTATTTGTAAATCCTTTATGTATTTGGCAAAGCCACATTATCCAAGCAAAATGACTGAATAACTTTAAAATGCAGATTTTAATTACAAACTTCTTTTTCTCCTTCCAGCTTCATCTTGTAGGTGAGGGAAACTTTTTACCTTTGCAATATGCATAAGCCCTTTATCATGAGAAATTATCCATGCAGGTACCAGGTAGCTATTGTCCACATAAGCCTGTAATATAATTTACCCTCCTTCTCTCAAAGAAATAAAACTGATTAAACTCCTTCATCTAATTACTTCCAAATTTTTTCTTGACTTTATACACCAAAACATAAGAGGCGTGATTTAAAGTAGTAAAAGAGATACTTGCCTTATTTATGAGGCTTCCACTACCAGTAACTGTCCATTGCACTGCTGGTTTGGGAAATCCTTCCACGTGACAGACAATTGTTTTAGACATTTTATTTGTATTGGTTTTCTTTGTCATTTTGATTTGAGGCTTTCCTATTTGAAAAATATTACAGTTAAACATTTTATTTATGAACAGCATAATTAATAATCATAGCTTTCTTGCTTCCTTACCTTCCACTATAAGTTTAAGTGTCTTTCTTTTCTTTAGCCCTTCAACTTCCTGTAGAGTAGTTTCACAGATGTAGTTTCCGGCATCTTGATACTGCAGACTTGAAAATGATGGACTTGTTTTCATTCTGGTATTGTCCTGATGGAGCAAGGAGTTAATCTTTTGAACTCTAATTCAGAATACATTAACCTCTACATTACAAAAGTGACTGGCATTAACAGATTAGAGTCTTACACTTCAAGTGTCTCCCTGTTAGTAACCACCTTCAAATAGCAGAGAGCAACATCTGAGCATGAAAAGTGGAAACTATTGGATGTTGATATAAGCCGCTTCTCTTCACCTTCAAGTCAAGGGCATAGATGGGAACAACTTTTCTGAGCTTCGCCAGTAGTCTGGTGAAAAATGCTATTGGTACAAGTTGACACACTATCAACACACCTCTAGTAACTGAGCTTAGGAGTTCACTACTAAATGACCTCAGGAATCATCATTTTTAGTTTCCATCAGTACTGGTGTTCTTTAAACCTGCTATCTACAACAGCTACTTTTTTTAACCACCCACTGAACAGCCAGCAGCCAACATCTAATCTCTCAACCAGCCTTGTCCTGCTAAATTTACTGGGACCGAGATTAAGCTTACCAAAAATAAATAAATAAATAATTGATAAATTCAAATTCCTTCAAAGGGCTTTTTCCTCTTAGCAGGACCTGATTCTAAAAGTTCCTCATACAGACCATTTCAATAAAATTGCATTTGTGTTATACTGTTCAGTAGTTCTCTGAGAATTGAGCCAATAATTACAGTAACTAATTTTTAGTCATCAATTTAAAGTGGTGTCTCTTATTTTAGCATTGCACATAAGATTCATTTTAACAATAGGCCTCCAAAAGCCAAATCAGCATAGTTCCCGCCCTCCCAAAACACTGAAGTATCAACAGTAATATGAAGTGATGAATACACAGATGAAGTGTGAAGTAGATGAATCACTGACCTTTATCCAGAACACAGTTGCATTTCTACTTGAAGAAATTGTGCATGACACAGGCAGGGCCTCTCCAATCTGCTTTGTGACTTCTCCACTAGGAGTAAGCTGCAAATCCAGATCTGGGGCACAAAGAACATTTGTCAAAATGGTAATCTCAGAATGCCTGTGCCATAACATAGGCTTTCCAAGAAAAGAAAATGTGACTAATTGCACTCATTACATTCATTTGCTCAATAAAATCTAAATCAAACTTAGAAGAAAGGAAGAAGACAGAATTATTCTAAAACAGGCGTTGCAAGAACATTCACATTTTTGCTGTAATTACAGGCTAACAGGAAAAGTGAAAACTTAATAATTACTAGACAAATTGATATCTTTTTTCACCCTTGTACTACTGAAAGGGTGAAAAAAGAGGCACAAGAATCCACAGGAGTATTCAGCATAGCAGTATTTGTTTCTTGAAAGAGGAAGCACAGGCTGCTGTGAGGGAATCTCTTTTTCAGCCAGATTCAAGTGTACTTTCAGTGGAGGACTCAAGCAGGTGGGGACAGATTAATTTGAACAGTTACTTAATAAAATGCAGAGAAGAGGATAGGAGGACAAGGGGTAACTTTCGGAAATCTGATAAAACAAGATGATTTTTATGCTGAGCATATGGAGAGGATGAGAGTGGTCAATGTAGCGTGTGACAGATGATACTGACTGAAGAGACAAGAGGCCTGAATTATAAGGCTGGGTGGCCACACATGAAGCCCTTTGATTTCTTTGTTTTCATTAGTAACTTAAAAGTCATTTTGTGTTACTCAGAGTCCAAGCTTTCCCTGACCTGTTTTGGCTTCAGGGAAATTGCAGAATCAGTGATAGCTGTGTTTGACGCTAGGGAGGGTGAGACCCAGTAATAGAAAGATCAGGAAACACTGCTCCAGAATTTTCTGAGTATATGGATTTGGCAGGCTAGTGATTGCTTTTTCAGGAAAATCCTACAATGAAAGAAAAGCAGAATTTGCCAAGCTAAACCTCTATTTTGCTTCCCTTCTCACAGAGCTTTGCCTGTGAGCCAAGTTGCCTGGTCAAATAACTATCACAGATGCACACACACAATAGCTCAAATGGCAAGCATACATGGTTTCATCATGAATATAGCACTAGAAAAGCACTGCAGAGTATCCTTTTGGCTTTTAAGCGGAGTTAAATATATATATATATATATATACTTGAGGCAAAATCACAGTTGGTAAAGGAGGGAAAAACAGTGAGTTTTACTTAACAAAACAGTGAACTTGACTATTGGTTTCATTCAGCGGTTGCCCTGGGAACACCATTAAAAAGCAGGACTTCAGGGAGAGTCTATGGTCCATCCAGTACTATTAGACTGCATTATTATCTGTATTATAAAGTCTAATGGCTACTCTGAGAGGTCCCAGATCCGCATGAATGAAAGAAACGCCTTGAAGGGGAAAAACTGTATTTTTTTTCTTTAGTCTTTCTTTCCCCCACCTCCCCAACTAGCAAACCCAAGAAAATTAACAAAAGCTACTCCAGATTTTACCACTGCTTTCACAAGGGGAAAAAAAAAAAAATGGAAGAGATTTGTTTCTTCTAGCTCAGCTCCTCTTGAGTCAGAAGAGTGGGTTGAAGACAAAGCTACATTTCCCCCCCCCCCACAGCGACTCTCCAACATT